AAATAAGTCCTCCAACTTTTTCAAGATCCAAATTCTCATCAAGAAGTAGACTTAAGAAATATAAGTCCTCCAACTTTTTTCAAAGTTCACCAGTGGAATTAGGTTTTCCAACTATTCTCAAAATAGTGTTAGATAGGTGTAAAATAATTAAGTGTAGGCATGTTTATTATATACTTATTTTTGTGCTTCTATCAAATTTGCAGAAAATTTATCATCTATAGCTTTTTGAAACTTTTTGTTGAACCAAAATTTCCTTCATCTTTTTTTGTTAAATTTAAAAAAAAAAAATCCCTTTTGCATTGAACAACCAAAGTGCATAAATAACATTAAAAAAAAAATAATAGAACAACCAAAGTGCATAAATATGTCCCACAAAATAATCTTAAAACCGCAATATACACTCTTCTAGATTCTCAAGGTTTCATTTGATTTGAGATCTCAATATCAAGTGAATGTTCAAACGGATCAAGTCCAAGTCTTCTAATAAAATAATCAATGAAACACAAAGGAATGTCCAAAAAAACTCAAATTTTCACACTATGCAATCTCACAAAGTGAATAAATGATAATTAAAGCACAAGAGTAATTATCAACTTGCAATAAAAAACCAACATTTTAAATAAGGCTAATAATTTCTAAACTCTAGCACAAGCAATGGTTACCCCACATGATAATCCCAATTCTATTGTCACCCCACACAATAACTCGCTAATGCTATAATTTAAATGGGATAAGTCAATATGTCAGAGCGGAACAATTAGAGTCCGTAAATAACAATATATGTGAATTTACTACTTTAGGGTCATCACTATTCGCCCTAAAGTCTCCGACAATCGTAGAAATCAATCAACTACAATTGACTCCTGAATGCATAAAGGGAAAAATCAAAGAAAAAGCCAAACATTTTTTCACCAAAGCAGGATGTTGATTTCACTTTCTCAAAGGCCACGTTTTTCCCTCTTTTCATACACAAATCACACATATACGGCTAGGGTAAAAAGTAACATATATATAGGAATAGGTTAAACTTTAGTTGGACCAATAATAGGGTTAAATGAACCAAGATTCAAAGTCATCTAATAGGTAAATATATATAGGCGGTGAGTAGCATTAATTTATTAATCTACTTCTAGCGGTCCACATTGTTTTTGAGTCGAGCCTTTGGACTTTGTTGTTGGTAACAATTTCACTCATCTGTCAATCCTTATAAAATTTAATCCGACATTTACATCATAGCTCGAGATTCAATGGGTATCAAAACCCAATAGAACAACTTCTTCTCCCAACATTGATCATCTTTTATTGTTATTAATTCTTAAACAGGGCAAGCACATTGCAGTTTTAAAATACCAATAGTTTCTTCTTTTAGTGCAGTTTCATGGATGATTTCTTCACTTTTGTCTCTACAGTCTTTATTAAAGGAGAGTTTAATACATGTTAAAAGGGATCTAACTTCAGCTATGTGCTAGTATAATCACCATAGTATTCGTGAAATGCTAAATCCCTTCACTATTTCTAAGCACTCCTCTTGCTGAAAAAATTCGATAGTGTTTAGCTTTAAGTATCACATCTCTAGTTTTATTTACCTAATAAGCATAGTTTTTATAAGATCCGGAGTCTTGCATTTAGCACGATATTCTTTTCTTGATCATAATTCCCTTTTCATTCTTTTGACCATAGAAGTGTTGTTTGATTCAATAGTTCAATACAGCTTCTACCCTCCAAATGATGTTAATAGTTTTCGTATCAATTCCTGTATGTTTGCTTGTACTTTTCTCAGTCCATAGTGAGTGCTTAGGAACGAATCTTTGCATGGTTGCCTAGTCACATTTACATTTTTAGAATATCTATTTTAACATACCTAGTTCCGAAAGAAAAACTATCAAGTATTGAAACCATATAACAGGACATTGGTATCCATATCCATACGATGAACAATTGTTCAACACTCTTTAGCTTTGCGACACTGACAAGCGGATGCCACTTCTAAATTCAGCTCTAGATGTGTTTGTATGAAGATTTGTTGGATTTTATATGCAACAATAGAAGAGAGAAATCAGTGCAACGTGGTTTGGCAATGTGCCTATGTTTACAAGGAGCGAAGCGGAGATTTTATTTAGTATGAATAATATCTTTACATAAACAGTACTTATACAAACCCTACCACAATCTCATACAAAACTTTAGGGCCAATATAGGAAAATACTCCCGTACCGTACAGCGGGATAGCATCCCTAGCAAACAGACATTAAATTAAAACCCACAAGGTCAATGCTGTCGCTCCGCTCCACTCCGACATTGGTCAATTTAATCCAATAAACCCATATTTCACTCTATATGAACCACATACACAACAAGATTGTATACTTTACTTCTTTATGATAAGTTGCCAACAAATTTTGAGACAAAATTTTCCATTGTGTACACGATCCAGAATCTTCGATCAATTGTAATGTAGTGTGGGTAAATTCAAACCAGTGATCAAACCATCAAGAGATCTACCCATAATAGGTTAAGAAATTGTTGCAAACAAGCATAATCCAAAATTTCACTCCATCAATTGATTTGTTGAATAAAGTCAAATTATTTAACTTATAAATTTGTAAAAGCTTCCACCATCAACCTGGAAGATACTTGTTCTCTATAGCCAGGGACGGACCCACATGGAGTCATGTGGGGTCAGATGACCCCACAAAATTTGGGTTTGTTTTTTTTTTTTCTCTAGAAAATGGTTGTTTTAACCCGTTTTCGACTCACTTAAATACATACAGAATGAAATCGAAATATTGCATTCTTAATATCATATATAAGCGCTCATGGCCTAATTTTTCGCTTCTTAATGGTGTGCGAAATGATCAACCATAACAAAAGTTACGATGTATCAAAATAGATCATTCCAAATTAGTATTTTGAAAATTTTGATAATATGTTAACTTTTAAAATTTGCCAATGATCATATACTATCCAAATCTACAAATCGCTTGCATCATCTAAAAGTTCATTACGAAAATTACATCGTAATCATATCGTATGGTCTAAACAGATATCGAAAATAGTTAAATATGCCTCAAATGTACGTATTAAAAGAGGCGCTTAACTCATCTTTTAAAAAAAAATCAATTATTTCATTAACATTTATTATTTTTTCACAATAAATTTTTCAATATAATTTACATCATTTTATTAGGAAATTTTATATTAAAAATGATGTCAAAAATTGTAAAATCGTTACGGATTAAATGTAATTTGAATTACTTTCAAATTATTTTTTCGTTAAACTTAAATTTCATTTACTTCTTACATCTAATTTGATTTACTCGTCGTTAGCTCAACATCCATAAATGACATGGTAAACAAAATTAAACATGTAGCAAAATTCATTTAACAAATTGATAGTGATAGAATTATAAGACACTTTCGAGATGTCAAAATACGTATTAACTTATTTTTATAAATATTATATTGTTTTAAAAAGTTACACATTAATTTTTGGAGCTAGCACAACCTGAGAGGATGACCTCGCAAGTGACCGCACCCTCACATGCCCAGCGGGGTCCCTATGAATAAAATAATTCAAATCCCGTGTGTGTGTTGTGTCAACCCTGCGGTCATTCATGTGGATACTGTAGAACGATTCTAATTTTTTACCCCACAACCCAAAACGGTTGGGTCCGCCCCTGTCTATAGAAAAGTTATATATTTTTCCCAATAGATGGTTATAACAGTACGCGACAAAAACCAACAATTAATGGCATTAGTCGGAGCCAAAAATTGCTTTTTTGCACTCCTTTGCGGATGAGCCTTCTAGCTATATATCAAGATTATGTTTTTTGCTTTATGTTCGATATGGACATATCAAGATTTAGATTCTTATATTTCTGTTGAATATTACAATTGCAAGTAATGGAGTGTAAATTTATGATTACTTATAAGATCAAAATTGTTATTTACTTATAAATTTGAGCTCTAACTACACATTCTATGCTGCTTCCAATCTCTTCTTTTAATGTTTTGAGGCGTGGACTCATTCATTTGAATTCTCCTCTATGCCATTTTTTTTTTAAATCATTTTTCTGTCACTTAAGTGGTGCCTATTTGTTGGAAATGAATAAATAATTTTGGGGGAAAATTTGATAAATGTCCTACATTTTGAAAAAAAATAAAATAGATACAAAATAAAATAAAAGATGGTGGGTCAAAAAACTTGCATTGTCTCTGATTTCTAATAAGTTCTGCCTACTTTGAACCAATATTTGAATTTGTCATTCGAAAACAACATTATACATAAGCAACATATTGTGTAAAAATAAATTAATATTTTGCACGTTAACATTATGTGGTACCATACTCTTATTCTTCAGTTTTTCACTAGGATATTTAACTTGGTTTTTCTGCAAACTGAAAATCTGTTTAAGCATTTTGTCTAATGACATGAATATACCTTTGGTTTTGATGTGTTAAGATTTGGGGTCCATCTTGATAAAGTCAACCTTATTAAGAGGAGTGTCGCAATCCTTTATATATTGGTCACTATTTCGGTATTTTACCGATGTGGGATCATATTCCCTTAACATGCCCCGCAAGATGGTAGTTCGTTTGAGCATACCAATTTTGAAATCCGTATGCTCATTTTTTAAGACTTAATCGGATCCAATCGCTCGTTGGAATTTAATGGGCTCTGATACTATGTTAAGATTTGGGGTCCATCTTAATAAGTTGACCTTATTAAGAAGAGTAATCCAACGTCTATTTAAGTTGGTCAATATTTCGGTATTTAACCGATGTGGGATTATATTCTCTTAACATGATGTAAGAGGAAAAGAATCTCAGAATGATTTCTCCAAAGATGAAGAAGCTCTGAAATTAGAATGTATAATCTAGTTGGGGAGAGGTTAGTTATGTTCTTCTTCTTCAGCTAGTATTATTTATATTTTGGCACGAAAAGTTCGTCGCAAAAAATTGTCATGTTATGCTCTTCAGGAATATAATGATAAGATATGTAATGCCAAAATGTGATATAATGAATGCAATAACTCAATACAATGGTAACACAATCCAGCATGTACTATCCAATCAAAGTTATAAAATAATTACCTAAGCAACAAAGAATTAATCTGCTTCGATTATTAAAGCAACTGGCATATAGTAGCTAAACCAAGTTATCGCTGCCAATCTCGAGATATTATTGCAAAACCCAGAACTGTGAATCAGTCCCATGGACTTAACCAACACTCCTCAGGCAAAGTTGGGTATCTTTCAGTATCCTTGCAATAATCATATATCACAAGGTTTCTTTGAACCCAAGCATGATCCTTTTTATTATCCTCTGAAAGGTGCCAGGCATTGTACTGATCCCACCAGTTATCAGTGGTGGTGGATACACAGGTAGGGAAAGGGTCCTCCCATTGACAACCATCTGCAGTGAAGTCCTTATAAGATGACACGAATGGTGCCTTTTCCCAGTCGGTTTTCTCGAGGCCACCCCTCGTAGCCCAGTCGTCTGCGTTCCAGATGCTTGAGAATAGGTACATAGGCTTTTCATTCGGGAAGAAATTGTTCGTGTAGTTTGCGTTTTTGTATATTCTTATCGGAACTCTATCCACAAAAAACCTGTCATGGAAAACAAAATGAGGGAAATTATTAATAAGAGATTAACTTGAAGACTTGTAAAAAGTTTATGGGCAATGATATAGGTATCACTTCTCACTTTTGTAATTTACTAATTACAAGAAAAAGGTAATCATAATGAGTAAAACAGATACTTACACAATCTGATGATTGTTCCAAAGAATGGAATAAGAGTGGAAATCTTCAGTGGGATCAAACCACAAACTGTGCCTCATCTCACGCCCACCAGTTCCGTTCTTGTACACATTTGTTTGTAATACGTAAGGCTGCCCACTTCTGTTCCCCAAGAACTCAAAATCCAGTTCATCTCTCTCTGGCCCTGCTGCATTTTCAGTACACATCTGCATCAATCGCACTTTTCCATGAGAATCATAAATTGTTCTTTCAGTCTTGCTCAGTACTCTGTGCTCGACTTACATAATAAGCTGTCACGACTCCGGCTGAGTCGCCTCCAACGAGTTTGAGCTTCATGCTGAACCACCCAAATCTGTATCTTTGCTTGGTTATAAATCCACATCCTATGAACATTATACCCAACAAAACCTTGTAAAATCATATATTAACAAGATCATGTGATAATGGTAATAATTCTTAAGGGGGGGGGGGGAAGACCTGCTTGTTTGTCCAAGGAGAGGTACCAGGTTGATCCATCATCGGAAGTCTTGAAATTGTTGTCGGGACAGCTTTTACTAAAATTATCTTCAAATGAATTTGAGTCTGCTGCTTTGGATAACTTACCAAATACAGCAAAAAGAATTGTAATGAAGAAAAGATTGAAAATTGAACAAGCTCTTCTCACCATTTTCCGAGAGAAGTTTTAAACAGGATCTTGAAAAGATAATCAACAATAAATACTGCCTTTTATGCAAAATTTGACAAGCATTTTTTAATGCTTTTAAAATATGTAATACTTGCTATTGTCAGTGTTATAAAAACTAGGCTGAACTATCGGTTCGACTGGGAAAACTGAAAATCGGTCAAGAAGTCGGACCGATTATGCATTAATATTTATTATTACACAGACACACCGACAAGATTTAGAAAAAGATGGCCAGATGAGTTTGAGGAGAAGCCAGGCTGCCTACATATTGATGGTGGGGTCCAAATTGTTGCTTGTAAGAACGTGATTGCATCTGATTGGTCTTAGAATAATCTAAAGTAGCCAACTGGAATTGTGCTCGTAAGAACAATTTGATAGTTTACTATTCATCGTGTTAAAGAATGGTCAGGTCAATTGATTAAATCAATTAAGAGAGATTGAAGTTTGTAATTATAATTTGACTTTCTTGTTTGGACTTAACTTTGTTTAATTAAAATTGGTTTTTGCCAAAAGCAGTGAAATTCTGCTGGGAAAAGAGATGCTGTGGGAGTTGAGTGGCCAACAAGATAGGAAGACACTGAAGAATGCTGCTGGTTCCAACTAAGGTTATTCTTGCCTTGGTTTTTACTGCTCTACTCGGGGAGGGATACACAATTTAGTTAAAATTTTATTAATTTTGAATCTTAGAATTAAAAATTGGATGGTTCTGATCTAATTTTCAGTGACATGTTATCGCCTGAAAATAAAATAATATACTCTTATCGTCTGAAAATAAAATAACACAATAGTTTACGTTTTCAACTTTTTTTCTACAGCACTGATGGTACCATTCAATTGTATGTGTAGAATTTTAATGTTTACTTAGTCCAAATCGACCTAAAACGGACCAGGCGTACTGCATCATAATCAATTTTACGTAGTTTAATATATCTTTCTGAATACTATGTCATTTAAGTGTTAGTTGTGAAATAACAATCAGTCATTCAATTGAAATAGTTTATTTTTATTTGATTTGAAACTTTGTAGTTGAAAATTGAATAATTCAAAGTATTTTCTAGGATCAATTAATTGAGTATGCGAGCTAGATGGAAGAAACTTTTATTTCTCTCATTTGTACCATTTTTTAATGTTATTGATTAAATACATAAGACTTAAGATTGCTTCATCATACCTTTTCACATTTAAAAATAAAAAATAAAAATACTTACTTTTTAATCGAGGAGAAACAATTACATGAAAAAAAAAATGGAGGGTTAAGAATAATAATTATTCAAGTTGAACATGTTGTTGGATTAAAATAACTCTTAAACCTTGACACACTGTCACTAATTAATTATGGGATTATTATAGCCACTTGCAATAAAAAATTATTTGGACTTTGGATTTAAGAGTTTAATATTTTTTTATTTTGTAACAATTGACAGTTTGGCCGAGTGGTCTAAGGCGCCAGATTTAGGCTCTGGTCCGAAAGGGCGTGGGTTCAAATCCCACAGCTGTCAAAAGTTTTCTTTTTAGTTTATTCTGAATATTTATATTATATTCTTATTTTCCCAAATAAAAACTGCTATTCAAAATAATTTCCACTCTTCAATGAAAAATATGTGTTAGTTGGACTGTCAATTGTTTTTTTGTCAAAGAAAATGACATTAAAATTAAAAAGCTTCCAAATTAAGGTCTTGTTGTGGGTTAAATTCAAGAGCGAGGTAAATGTACTAATGAATTTTGAATATTTGAAAGTATAGATTAGTTGAGAAAGGTATCGAGGTGGTTGATGTAATGGTCTCGATTAGTGATAACAAAGAATTTGTGAACATTAAATAACAATATGAAATACACAAAGGGTAAAATGTCCAACAAGATTTTCTCTATTTTGGAACAATTGAAGCTATGACTTCAACTTTTATTTAAAAAGATGATAGTTATTATGGTTAATAGCCTGATCTCTCACTCTTGCCATTCGCTCTAAGGATTGCATTACGCTGCTTGCCTACTAGTCGGCGGCAACTGTCATAATTCATTAAAATTGGGTAAAATTCCCTATTGTTCTCGAATCTCACTCCTTTGTTAAACAATCTCACTTGAGTTTTCACGTAGCCGTTTAACATCCTAATAAACACGACTTTCACAATATTGAAGGATTAGGAATATGAGTGCAATGAATGGTAGATAGGGGATATAAGTACCATACTTATAAAAGATTGGGGATGGATGATGTAATTTAAGCAAGAGTAAACAAAGGAACAAAAATAGAAAATTTCCGTCCGCCTCCAGCACCGTTCCGGCTATCCAACCTGTCCTCCGCCCTGCCGCCACCATATTCCGTAATACCCTACTTCCGTCTCAGTTCCCCACCAAGACCCGTTTTCCTCCTCTTCATAATTTATCATAATCAGTTGTTTTCTGTATATTAGATTTCAGGTTGGGACAGATATTTGAAATTTCGAAAATGCAAAATTCATGGTGGCTGTACTTCTGCTTGCTGATCTTTATTATAATGCTCTCTTTTCCAGTATTTACTCGCGGAAATGTGTAAGTATTATATTCAACATTTCTTTTGAAGTTTTAAAGTGAACGTTAGATTTAGGTTATACTTAGGTCTGGCATCGTTTTGATTAAATTGAGCTTCAAATTGGTTTGAGTCATTTACCGAATTCTGTCACTTTGTAATAAAGTTTAGATTTTGAGATTGATTTTGTCACCGAGGAAATATAATGGAGAAAAACTACCCTGGCAAATTATTTTTTATTTACCTTCTGTTGTATCATCATAAACCCAAAAGCATGATGTTAAGCTTCAAAATAAGTAAAAAAGAAACTTCTTGTATCTAAAGATGTTCAGTTACAAAAAAAGAGTTGTTTTTGACATGTTGAGTGTTGTCTTCTTTGCATATTTGGAAGTCTTACGCTATGAAATTCAAAGGATTGACAGAAAAATTTTGCATGTTGGTCATGAACTGTGGAAGGAAGCATTGCCATTACAAATGGGTTCACGCCTCTACGAATTGAAAGGGCTAAAACCTCATAGTTGGTATGAAGTGAAGATATCATATCCAGCTTCGGTATGTATGTTGAATTTGTATCTTTTTTATTTTTCTTTTAAAATGTTATAGTACTGGAAAAACACACACCAATGTGATAATATTGAATGACAGATACCCTCTAGTTTCTCTTTACTGAAAAACACACACCAATGTGATAATATTGAATGACAGATACCCTCTAGTTTCTCTTTACAACTAAAGAGAGGTAGTTCAGACTTGGGTCTGAATATGGGAAGAAAATTGCTTAATACAGAAAAATTGATTTTCAAGACTGATGGAATAGATTCACTAAGTGACCAGGTCCGATATTGTATCACTGTCTTATGGATATTATCCTATTCTCTCCTAAGGTTTTGAATTCTGGAGTCCCTTTTCTTTTTTCAGCAGGGATTGCATGTACTCTTAAATGTTGAGTCTGAAGGTGTTGTTGCAATACCAGGGAAACAGGAAAGGAAATTTGTTATATTTAATATAGGTAAGATAAAGTTCTGATTTGGTTCGTAGCATATTGCCATATCCTTGTTTCATGCTTGCTTAAGTAATAGCAATTGTTTTACCCAATATAATGCTAAGAATGGCTAGTATGTCTTGAAGAAGATTCCCTATGTATGATGAGAAATAAAATGAAACATTTTGGATTCAAGTGGCTTATACCGAGCCAGCTACTTTTAAACTAACAAAAAAAAAAAAAAAAAAACTAAGGTTGCGTATACCAAAATTTTTAATGAGAGAATTAGCTATATAAATTGGAGCTTTGGCAGTTACTGATTGCTGTTCCCATTTGAAGTTATTATTATCTTCCGTGTTAATTTTCTTGCGTGGGTACTCTTAAGTGCTTTCCACTTTGTCTAACCATTTAGCCAGTATTTGAAGACATAAGTCTGTATAATTAATATTCTTTATTAATGATTTAGATCTTTAGTTTTTCTTAAAAAGGCCTAGCTAAAGCATTTGTCTCTAAGACCTGCCTACTTTTCTTAATATTCATAGGTGTAATCGGGGTATCTCTTTATTCCTTATCTCCTTCTTCCCATGTTTTGTCTGTATTTTCTATTGTTCCAGTAAGAGGCCTAATTAATTTAAACCATTTACAAAAGGAACAAATTATATAATTTCTATAAAAGAGTAGAATGTATTCTTGAATCATCTTCTTTTCTTTAGAAGAATGGTTTTTAAAGAACCATTCTCTAAGAACGCTATTATAAAATGGAGATATTAGAGAAAAATATGAATTCTTACACATAGGATTACTATTATCGGCCCCTTAACCCTCTAACTAAAGATGGTTTCAATGCATATTTACTTGTTGCCATAAGAGACTATATGCACTTAAAATTTAATGATTCCTTACTTGGTTTAATAGAAACCATTTTTATGTAGTGGTCCATTTTATCTTAACTGCTTTCCTGATTTCTCTTTTCTTTAATAGATCCAAACATACTAATCTAAATTAAACATTGAATCTAAAGGTTATGACATGAAAGCTTTGAGTGAGCATGTTGCTATAATTTAGTGTTTTTTGTAAAGTAATGAATCTTGAGCCCTTTTTTAAAAGGTAAATCATCAACTCATCTCGAGTGTTTTTAAGCTCCAATGGAGAAGGCTGATGGGGTTAGGATGCCTGGACTGTAAGGTATATACAACTCACTAGAAACCTGACCTCCAAAAAAGCAGTAAATGATGAGGTATTATCTCCAATAACAAAAAATAAATGGAAAGAAGTAGACTAGATTAGCAAAAGTTGGGAATACCTTGATCCCTGACTCCGAAGGGTTAGTAAGAAAGGTTCTAAACACTATGACACAAACTAAATCATACTAAGTCTGGAGTAGTTCAACCGAAAGCTGTATTTTGGAATGATATATCTCTTCCAGAATAATGGTCTTCAGAAGGGGTTACAGAAACTGAACTTGATATGAATAGGGAAGTTGAATGAAGTGTTTAAACTTCAGATGGACCAGTTGAAATCTACTTTAATGGAAGTAGAAAGAGCTGGATTAATGATTTCTGAATTTATTTCAAAATATACCTCTAGGGCTACCTCAATAAATAATTCCATCCTCTTCGTCTAAGAAGCACCGATACTTGTAAATTCATTATGTAACCGTATTCGATATGTATTCAAATTTGGATACTCTTGTTACCCTCCAATACATATCGGATACATTTTTTTAGTCATTTTATATTATTTTATATTTTTTAAATTTTCAATATGTATTGGATACGGATTTTCTTAATATTTTATTTTTTAAATTTTTTCGATGCGTATCCGATAATTAAGGACACGTGAAGAAGAGTATTATTGATTTTAAACGCTTTTAAAACTCATTCTTATTGATTATAAATTGAAAAACGTTTTTTTACTTTATTAAATATTAATAATGTTTATTGGAAGTACACAATTAGAGTTTTAAATTAATTAATAATTAGACTTTTTATTGGAAATACGCAATATTATATAATTTTTTAATACATATGAAACTGTGTTAATACATTTTTATTATTGGAAATAGATAGTAATTAATATTAATAATTGGAGTAGTACTATTTTGTGCACTTCACGAGTAGGAATATCTCAACAAGGAACTAAAGAATTGATTTTTCATTCATAGTAGCCTATGTCTTTTATCAAGAAAATTAAATTTCTATTCAAAACAAGAATCCCAAATATAGGACATTGTCGGAGACTCATCTGATACTCTTAAAATTGTTGGACTATTTGATGTTGCTAATCTATCATTGATAACCTAGACTTGGAGAGTGTTATTTTTAATGATAATGTAGAAATTGGTATTGATGATGTTGAAGAAAATGAAGTTGGGAAAAAAATTAAGATAAATTGTTTTAGTGTTTTATTTTATTTTCATTATTATACTTCTGTTTTACATTTTTTATATTAACAAATTATGTTAAATTTTATAAAACGTATTCACGTATCCTAATTTTTTTAAAATTTCGTATCGACGTACTCGCATCGTATCGTAAGTATCCGTGCTTCTTAGCTCTTCGTAGGTTTAATTCTTCTATGCCAGAATTTTTAGACTCTAGGAGTAAATCTACTTTCTCACCAGAATTTTTGGGTGTTAGGCACTCTCTTTTTAATATACCCAATGGGATGTACAAGAAGAGAGAGGTTTATGACTCTCCAACTTCTTCAGAAATGAATTTTTTGATGAATATGATTCTAGTAATCAGTATTCTAAAAAGAGTAAAGTATGGATAAACATGGAAGCCAAGCTTCTAGCTTTATGAGCCTAGGTGAGCTTAGATGAGGCCTAGGTGCGTTTTCTTATTTTAATATTATCTTAAATTTTTAATCGTTTTAAAAATCAATTAATAATTAAAATAATATATACTAAATATCTATAATTATAAAATACTATATTTACTTAATAATTCCTACAATTAATCAATTATATAATTTTCAAGTTTTTGAAATGTATAAACTAAATTATTTTTCCATAGTTTCATAGAGAAGTCCTACTTGAAATTTTCTAGCGTGTTTCATTTTTTACTTTTGTATAGATGGTCATTTAAAAACTAGAAATTAAAGTTAAATACAGTGCTTTAAAAAAGAAAAAAAGTTAATAAAACCCCACTAACTGCTCATTGCCAAGGTGTGGCATTACATCCGAGCCTCGAACCTAGGTAGGCTTTTTAGCACATTGCTGGTAATTGAAGAAACAAAATTAGAAGAAGACAAAGTAATCAAAACTCTAGAAATGTCTTAAATCAATCATTTTCTTCCAAAAAAGATAATCCCCTACAAAAGGGGATCTGTAAATTGGGATCAAACCTTCAAAGAAGTCTTAACTGAAGGAAAATGTCGTTAAGAATAGCCTTTACTAGTGCTACTGAATGAGGGTGATCTTAAATTTAGGCCTGACCCATTTGAAATAACAATTACGTATTTAAACTATCAATAATATAAAAGTATGTCTAGCTAGTTAACAGAACTAGACAATTCCCTGAGGAAATCTTAGTTCAGACAGAATATTTAGATATCTTTCATAATGATGAAAACAAGAAGAAAACTAGGTTTAACAAAGCCTTTATTCAGAGGGTAATCAATCTCAATGAATGAGGACTAAATCCTAATGTCAATTGAACAATTGTTAGTAAAATAACACAAGAGAAGAAAACTACATTGGTGAGAAAAAGTAATAATCGGAGAAATCCACTGATATCCTAGAAAGAATTAAAGAAAAAAATTCTAGAAGTTATGACGCAATTCTGTAAAGAAGATGAAGGTGAATCCATGAAGCCAGAACAAATTCCATAAGCTCAGAAAATGAAAGGTCTAATAGGAAAATGATACTGATGACGAGAACTATACGACATTAAGACACTGAGGACTTGTTGGGAATGATAAAGCTATATTCACGAGCCCAAGGATCAATTCAGCCCAAGAGGAAAGGAAAGAGAATCATTGTCAAGTGACAAACGACAATTTTTAAGACTTTTTCCATGATTGATGCACTCATGGGAAGAGTGTATGATTGATGCACCCATGGGAAGAGTGTATGTGAAACTAAAAGTTCCCAAGAGTGTATATGAAACTTCAAGTTCCCTAAGACTTGTGCTTCAGAATCGTGAAAAACTTCGCGGAGTTAAAGTTTGCTAAGTTTTATGTTGTAGTCACGTGAAAGACTCCCTAAAAGATTCTTGAAGTTAGAAATCAACTCAAATTCAAGTCAGGAATGCTCCTAGAGAAGATGTGGCCAATCTTATGGGGATTGGAAAATCTCCGTAGTTTTTATATTTTTTACTTTGGAAATTTCAGTTTTATCCCTAGTTCTCTTGTACTTCCAAAAATCTATGCTGTAATTACAAGTTCAATCTTTTGTAATATATACTTCATTTTCGAAGAACTTGTACTTTCAAAAATCTATGCTGTAATTACAAGTTAAATCTTTTGTAATATATACTTCATTTTCGAAGAATTTTTAGTGACATCCCATTGTATTATATCCTTCATTTTCGAAGAATTTTGAGTGGCTTTCCTAGCACAATCCTAGATCCATAGCTTTTTGTAGCATATCTTGCATCAAATATGGATCCTTGTAGCTTTTCAGATCAGATTTTTGCTTCATTGTAGTATGAAATAAATATGTGTTCATGTTTATGCCCATGTGATGGTTTTTGTTTAAGTAAAACAAAGATGGAACATTGAGGACTCAAATACCTTATACCGATCCAGCTACTTTTAATGAGAAAACCAGCATTTCAGTTTATCAAAATATTAATGAGAAAATTATGCCCCCCCCCCCCCCCCGGTAGGTTGGAAATTTTTAAATATTCGTTGCTTTATCGTCTCAAATAATTAGATACTGAAGTATACTAATCAATACATAGAAACATAATTTTTATCAAAATTCGAAGGTCCTTTATTGTACTAAGAATTAATCTCCCTTTTAAGTCATCTGATAATTTTTGACTCTATGGATAAGCTTAACCAACCGTGGACGTTCAAAAATATACTACTACTGTAAGTTAAAAGTGAACTCACTCACGTATAAGATTAGAATATATTAAGTTGGTGTGGCATGACTACGTGAAAGTATGTTGTTACTTATATTATTTGCTTATCATTCAAATTATATTTTATAAGATTCTAATATTTTCTTTACTCTTTTATAGATGCATAAGACTGCAGCCGAAAGATGGAGAGACGAGCCATTTCCCTATATATGATAAATTAGCCAGCATCTTTGGCAGGGACCATGCAACCGGTCAAGGAGAAGAGACTCGTGCAGCGATAGATTCAAATAATCGATAGAAGGCTCAAATTCAAGACATGGAAGGTAATGATGAGTCATTTTCTTCTGGCTCTAATTGTGATTTCACTTGGCCATAAACATCAAACAACAAGAAGGGTTGCTCCAACAAATTTTTGCAGTACCATTACAATGAATGATAGTGTGATATATAGTTTATTGTCAAGACAATGGATAGAATGGAGAAGATAATAAAACGAATATTTGGAATTTGTAACAATAATTGTGGTTCGTGCAGAGCTCGCCCCACTAGGATTGAGTATGAGGGATGAGTGCTATGGAGACATTTGTTGAGAACCCTATTAGGTTTGAATATTTTTAAGGACTTGAAGGGGTCACGTAATCTTGAATTCGTGTTAATACTTTTAGAATAACATCGTATCGGCCGTACGTAATTGTGTTTGAATGTTTACTTATTTAGATAACATTGAGAACTTTGTAAATTTGTACCATATTCGTTCCAAATATATTTCACTTTTTAATGAAATGGAGTTTGGTTGTTCTCTGGAAAGTATGTCATGTATTTTATCTTACATTACATATATATTTATTTGTTTGAAATATTTAACAGCCAATATAATTTATATCATTAGATCAGTGGAGACTGGATGTGTTGTTTCATTGAAGTTTGTATTATATATATATATATATATATATATATATATATATATATAGCCCAGGGGAAAGAAAATCAGAAAAAGATTAACAAAAACAAATAAATGAAGAAGATGAACAATAGATTTTGAAAAGATAAAATGTATTGATAATTGATTTGTTACAAAATTGAAAGTACAAGGTAATTTTGTAGAAAACAAACTTCTATTGCCAAATTCGCTCTCCTTGAAATGAAGAAAAACTTTTCTTCTTATAGAGAAATTCGGACTTCAAACAATTCTTCATTTTGCTTGGATCTTGAAAAGTATCATCTCCTTTTGTTTTCCTTTGAATAATTGATCCATCTTTTGAGAAGTGGGAAATAACATTTTGAATCTTTCATATTTTTGACTAACTTTATAAAAGTAGAAACTTTACTTCAATAAAGTTAATTTTGGCATGCAAATCTTGAAAAAAATGTCTTTTAATTTGGTAACACGGTAATTTCTGAATTCGTCAAGAAACTGGGTTCTTGTAGTCATTTGATCCTTACACCTTCTCATGTGTAAGAAAATTATCATAATCTAAATCAATTAAGTCATCACCATTGTCTGTCTCTTGATATTCTTGATCTGAGTTTTGAGTACTTGATTTTTTAGATCTAGTTTTAGAAATTTGTTCATAAATTTCTAATAATTCTTTGGGATCTTTGCAATTTGATAACATTGAAATGATCATTTGTTTTTCAGTCAGAAAATCTGTCTGATTTTCTTGTTCTTTCTTTGAGAATTTTGGAATTCCAAAATTTCTTTGTTCTTGAATCCATGATTGAACTGCTTTTGGACAACAGTTTGCTTCCTTGAATTTTGACCACCATTTGACTTTGAATCTTCTGGTAATCCTTTAAGTAAAGAATTCATCATTTTAATTCTGAAATAGAAAGAAATCCCAGCAAAAAATCCATGATACTTTCATATTGAAAGCAAATTGAAATAAAACATTCGCATGAGACTTTAAAAATATTTTTGCCTCTCTTTTGAAGTATTCATATCCTTGAAGAGTAAGATTAGACAAAATTTTCTCTTCAAGTTCGTGATACAAAAATCAAGTTTGAAACCATTTAGAAAAAATGAGGATGACAATTTTAATTGAAAAGAATGAACCATAAATGAGTAACAGGTTTAAAGAAAAAGACTCTGTACCAAGTATTCAAATAATCAAAATAATTGAAATATTCAAAAGTTGAAAAATTTGTTGAAGAGAGCTTGAGTCTCTTTTGTTCCCATGGGTCTTGTCCCTAGTCTTCGTAGGACAATACCCTAAGGATACTGATTTTTTAATACATTGTTTCTGATTTATTTTGAGGATTTGAAGTATGAGAGATTATGGCTGATCCTGTTTTTGAAAGGATAATTTCATAATAATCTCGAGATTTTTTTACATTTGATGGCATGAACCAGAAATTATTTGGAAAAATGTTTGGAAGACATTCATCCAAATTTGAGTGTCTATTAAGCCAAGATATTTCCATATCAAAGCAATTTTCAAAAATACTTTTAGTGAAATATTGAAAAATTTGATGTAGGTTAATTTGGGGAAGTTTTTCAGAACTTTGAACGTCTTTTTTGTAATTTGAAGAGTAGCTTTTTCTTTGAGTTTGTTTTGATCGGGTTTTTTCTTAAGGGTAGAAAGGGTATTTGAAGAAGATGAAGCTTCTTGAATTTCTTTTTCGGAATGATCTTTTAAGATATCATTAATTGAGAAAATTGGAGTAGAATTTTTCTTTCTACTTTGTTTCTTTTGAAATGGATTTTGATATTCTTCTTCAACTTGTTTCGCCCAACTCATTTTCACTCTTTTTGTGAATGAACTCTCTCGTGAGGAAGTCTGCTAAGAAGTTTGATTTCCCTTATATATAAAGGATTTTAAAATCGAAACAGGACAAAATAGTCTACTATCTTGCAAAGATTTGTTTGGAAACAAGATTTTTCACATGTTTTTGTAAAACATTTTTTGAGGCTTTACAATCAATTTTCAAAATAATTTTTTTGTTGATAAGATCATCTTGAAATTTTGAAATACACAGTACTATTGAAAGAATTTTTTTTAATAGTAGAGTAATTCTTTTGAAGGTCGGTCTACACACCATTGTAGTACCTAATTAACTGTTCTTGAGATAACTCTAGTGGAATTTGTTTTAACAGACCACCATATCCAATATCCGAGGCATATATCTCAATAATAATTGAGGCTGTAGGGTCAAGAATTGAAAGATCGGGAATATTTTTGATTGCTTTTTTTGACTCTTTGGACTGCAACTGTGTGCTCGTGACTCCGTGGGTTAGGATTGTTTTGTAATCTTTTGAATAATGAGACACAGACTTGACGTATACTTTGACAAAATCGGCCAAATAATTGAAAATCTAAAAAAACGTTGCAAACTTGTTTTATCTATGATTTCATCCGAAAATTTGTCAATGAAATCAAGACTTCTTTGAATTGGAGTTAAAGTGCCATTATGAATGTAATGTCCAAGAAAACAAATTTTTGTTAGAAATAAAACAATTTTTTTAGCAAAAATTGCTAAACCATTTTTCGTAGTAATATGAATAAATGTATGTATATGCTTGAAATGTTGTTCTATATTTTTAAAAAATATAAGAACATCATCTATATAAACAATAATGAAATTTGAAAAAGGATTAAAAATGTCATTCATAATTTTTTGAAATTCAGAGGGAGCATTTTTTAGACCGAATGACATAACATTCCATTCGTATTGTTCAAAAGGAACATTGAAAGCAGTCTTGTATCTGTTTTCTTCTTTAATTTGAATTTGCTAGAAAGCTGACTTCACATCAAATTTAAAAAAGATGACAGCTTTACAAAGACGGTTCAAAAGATCTTTCTTTTGAGGAATATGATATCTAATCCATTGAAAAGCAGTATTGAGAGGTTTATAATTGATGACCAAACAAGAAACTCTCCATTCAATTTCAGCAGAATTATTAACATAAAAAGCTGAACAGCTCCATGGGGATTTACTTGGTCGGATTAAACATTTCTTAAGTAAATCATCAATTTCTTTGATACAAAAATTAAGTAACTCTTTATTCATTTGAATAGAACGAGATTTTGTAGGAATATTTTATTCATGAAAATCAGAATTGTAAGGAAGAAAAACAACATGTTTCTTCCTATCCCAGAAGGTATTTGGAATAGTTGAACAAATTTCTTTTTTAATTTTATTTTGAAGTTCTAAAATTTTTTCTTTTAAAAGAGATTCTTGCAATTTTTTTATATTTTTTGAAATTGAATTTCTTCTTTAAGAAATTTAATATGATTTCTTTTTAAATTAATATTGTTAATGATTTTCGAAATTGCATCTTCTTTTAAAAAATTGATATCTTTATAAGAATGAGGATTTGTAAATTCAAAAAATATTTTTTGACAAAAAAAATTTTTAGTTAATCCTTTATAATCGGCTTTAAAATGATAAATTTGAACAATAAAAGGAGTACCAAGAATAACTTTTTGATCTAAATCTTTTACATGATAAAAACTATTTTTGAAACAAATATTTGAGTTGCAAACATGAGCTTTTGAAATTTTATAGTTTATATTAAGCTTTTTCTCACTAGCACCATAAAGACGCTTAATAGTTTTTTCAAAGTATTTTGTAGGAATTAAGCCTTCTTTGATACAATTTTGATCTGCACCTGAATTAATAAGGACCCGAGTTGTAAATTTGAATTTTTTATTTACAATAATGGTCATATTGCAGTACCATTTTTGAAGTTGAATTCGATTAATAACATTAACATTTTTTTCTTTAGATTTAAGAATTTTGAAATCAGAATCTAATGAGCAATCAGATGAGGATTTAGAATGTTTTGAAGATCGCTTAGAAGAAATTTTTTATTTTCCTTTGAATTTTTGAATAAAATTCATCATTTAAGTCTTTTGCTTTCATACAAACAACTTCCATGGGAATTTTTTTGACTTGATTTTCAATTTATGAGATTTGAGTTTTCATACTTTTAATATCTTTTTGAAGATCAGGAATGGAAGGTTTAGAACCCTTTGAAAATTCATTTTGATCACGTTTAAGAATTTGATTAATATTGATATCATCAAAATTTTGTTTTGAATTAGAAGATAAAAGGGAGGAGAATTTTTTCTTGAGATTAGGATTATCAATCCTATCAATAATATCTTGAATAACTTCTTCTTTTCGAGATAAAATATTTATAGTTTTACAACTACAAATTTCTTTATCTGAGTTTGAAGAAGTATCAGAGGAATGAAGAGAAGGTTCATAATCAGAATCTTCTTAATTAAGAAAAATTTGTTCTAATTCTGAGTTAGACTCATTATCAAAACTTGATTCAATAAGATTGAGAAGTTGGGTTTTAGTATCTTCATCAATTTAAAAGGCTACTAAATTTCTTTTTGAGTGGACATTTATTAGAATAATGACCAATCTTATTACATTTTCAACAAGTGACACTTGCCGAATTTTTTGAAATTTTCTTCTTTAAAAAAGGTTTTCTTTTTGAAAATTTTCTTTAGTTAAAAAATTTTTCTGAATAATTTTTGGAATATTTTCTTTTATAAAATTTCCTCTTTTGAGGAAAAAATTTCAATTTTGAAAAATGAGGAATGATTTTTTCAAAACTATACTGTTCATAGAAAGATCCAAGTTCTTTTCGACTTTCAGATTCTTTTGTTTTCAATTTGGCTTTGAGTTTTAAATCATTACAAATTTAAAGCTTCACAATTAATATAATTGATAATTTCACCATATGTAAGTATTTGAAGGTAATCAAATTCTTTAAAAATAGAATTTTTTACTTTCTGCAAAGAGTTTTGGAAGACCTAAAATAAAATTT